TAATTAACATTTATTGTTATATGTTTTTTAGACATACTCTGAGTACTACTTCATTTCATAGAATAAATGGTATATATTTTTTTGTATTTATTCATTAATGTACTTATTATTTCAATACTATCAAAATGTTTTTAATAGGTATCGCGTTGTTGGAAATATTTTGGACGTGGGTCTTATACAATTGTTACACCAAATTGAGGGAACGGAAAGTTACGTTGTGTCAACGAGCACGCGAATTATAATAAAATTAAAAATTATTCACCAATAAAGTTTAAAAAAATGAATTAGAAATTTCTTATTGTCTATTAAATATTTAATTTTACTATGGATCAGAGGTCAATTGTAAAATTTTGTTGAATAAAAAAATAAAATTATAATGAGCCTAGTTTCAAAGCAATGTTAACTTTAGTTTCTTACTAAAATTCGTTTGTCATTAAATTATTTATCGTTGAATATTTAAGTTACTGTACTTTTGTCTAAAATTAATATTTATTTAAAGTATTCTTATTGACTTAACTTCAAAATAAGTAATGATATGACACTGAACGATTTTAGAAAAAAATATTTTACCACAATATTAGTAATTGTAATTTTACTAAATTTTAACACAGAGTAATTTTTTTACAATCCTTTGTTGTATAAAAAAAAGCCAAGACTTCATTTTTACAAAAAGAATCACAGAAAAACGAAAAAACGAAAAAAGAAAACGCAATAATCTTTTAATGCAATATCATATATTAAATTTAATAATTTTTTTAATTTAAAAGGTTCACATAACGTAAAAATCTGCCTAAGTAATTAGGGCTGTCTGAATTTGTTTAGGAATTTTATGATTAGAAGTTGAATTTATGATAGTTAACTGGGTTATTTCGGTCGTTTTATATTTGTAAGATATTATATAGTTTTTTATCCATATCTAACTTAATAATTAAGTTATAATTTTATAACTATTATTATAATTATTATAATGGTGTTTTTATAGGATTGTGGAAATTATAGAGGCATATAACTTATGAGTCATAGTATAAAAATTTGGGAATAGGTAATAGATAAGAGAACAAGAAATGAGATTTCGGTATCTAAAAACTAGTTTAGATTTATGCCTAGTAATTCAATAATGGAGCTCCTTTTTGATTTGTTTGAAAATTCAAAAGACAAAACTTAAAAACTCATTTGTTTCCTGAAATTTAATTTTTAAAAATTATATTCAAATTTTTTAAATTTATATATTGGTCGATAGCAATTAATTTTAACAAATAAATCAAAAGTTTTGAATTCAATTTTTAAAGAATACTTTATTTTAATTAAAACATGTTTTAATAATTATTAAATTAAAAATACATTTAGAGAATTATTTATAAAATATTGGAGTAAAAGACTATTCTTGCGCCACCTGGTGTGTATAAATTTGACAAATGTGTGTTGTATAATAAACACTAGATGGCATGTCATGTACTATTATTCATAGTATAAAAATTTGTTTTAAAAAATTATTATATTCTTTAATAATTTTCTTTTAATACATATATTAATTCATATGTATAATTTTTAATGTATGCATATATTGTTTTAACGAATTGTTAGTAATTTAAACGGCTCATGGAAACTTCATTTTGTTCAATTATTGAATTTGAATTTATCAATTTAAGGTTGGCAATCGAACTAAAAATTTGGTTGAATAGGTGACAATTTGGTTAGTAAAATAAATGTAAAAAATTAATACTGAAGTAGATAAATAAAATATAAAGAATATTTAAACCAAATCCTTATTATACCCTTATATCAATTATTGTCTACTAAATTTTTTTTTTAATTCAATAATTGGATCATTATTATTTAAATAATAGTGTTACAGTATTTTAATAATCTAAAAACTGTTATAAAAATATCAAATGATTATAAAGAATTAATGATATGTTTTAATTTAACCTAATCAATATTAACAACGTTACGCCTTCATTAAGGGCTAATAAAATATATAAATGATGTTTTAATATAATTATCGAAAACATTTTTTTTCTTAAAACTTGCTTTAGTACATTTTTATTCTGAAGCTATGACATATCAGATTTAGCTACAAAATAATCACTTATTACATAATAATAAACAGTATGATTTTCGTAAGAAATAATATTTTTAACTAGGGTAGATTGATTACTTTTTAGCGATATTTTTTTTGTATTTACACATAATAGAAATATTAGAAGTACTACATAGATTTATAGATACATAGATTTATTTTTACTGCTACAGCCAATATTTTTCCTAAATTCTTTGGACTATTTTAAGTTGTTCTCTATTGTTTTTATCTCTCATCATTTAAGTCGTATACTATTATCTTTTGAGTTCATAGTTGAATAAACTAAGAATGATTTCCCCGAAGGAACGTATTAGCCTTTGCAGTCAACCGAACATACAAACATCTTTTGCCAAAGCACCTGTTTGAAGTTCCCATATCACTATTCAACTGACAAAAATTTACAGTAACTTTTACAATTCTCCCTTTGTTATTGTATCGAGTTCATACGAATTTATTTAAATATTTTTAACGTAATATGTTAAATGTTCAGGTAAACTGTTCATACGATTACTCTACTAAATTTTTAGTTTTAGTATTATTTTAATGCCTTTTAACTAACTACCATTATTAACAAAAACTATCACATTTTACATCGAGATGGAAACTTATAATAGATTTTTTTCACTAAAATACATCTAGGATATTTTTTATGTATTTTATTTACTTGAAATTGAAGTTAAAAGAAAAAAAGGTGCACTGGAAATCCCTTTAGGATTACCGGACCATCTCACAAGTCCATTAAACTTCATTTCTGGTGCAGAACAACACATATTATGCGGGCACGTGTGTATTAGATAATATCTTTCTTTTTTGTGCTGTAAGAGTGGTGCGAAGAGAAAAGAAAAAAATATTACAAACCGAAAAATATACTTATGGGCGCTTCTAAGCTTAAATGTGTTTGGGGCCATTTTTTATTGCAGTCAAGAGACTTTACAAGAGTTGCGTGTACATAACTTCTCAACAGGAAATGGCACATAAATTATTTTATATGACGGTGTCGATTTCCATTTTCCAAGGGGAGTAGATAGCATATAGAGCGCAAAGCTCTGTTAAAAAAATGGTATGGTCAAGTTTTGTGTGGGTGTACATCTATAGAGCTTGTAATGAATGGTTCGCCAGGTTTTATGACTTCCAATCTAAGAGCTTCGGTTTAAGAGAAAAATATGGCTTCTATTTTCAATTTATGCTCGTATATATTTTTATGTATAAGCATACAGAATCATATTTTTGAATTAAGGTTAAACTATATATTTTTTCAAAATAGTAATAGAAAGCGTATATTTACTAACAATAAGCTGAAAATTCAATTTTATTTTTAGTAGTACATACTATTTTTGGCAGTATAAAAAAGAAAACACTACTTAAAACGGTTGTTAAAAATCACAAAAGTAATTTAAAATAATTCGCCAATTGATGTCAGTAAAAATGAGGAATAATAAAGAAAAAAATATTCGATCGATTTGAATTTGCAAGAAATAAACTACTTTAAGGTATCTCTGTTATCAACAGTACACTGCTATTATTTGACTCATAGAAACACCCTAAAAGTGACGTGTCGGGAAAATATGACGTCTTGTTGAGGGTTAATACTACGACATGCTTTCGTCAAATATCGTTTTTAATAAAATATATGCTCCTATATCTAATATGCGGTTCCTTAACCAAAAAACTAGACAGTGTCATGTTGTGGTATGTGTTTACGCGTTTAAGTTTCGCCGCTGCAATGTTCGACCAAATGTTACCAACTCTCTATAGACAGATGGCACACATACAAAGAGTGAAATTCTACCGTTTATGAATATACTTGAAAAATAAAGGAAGTTTGTATATAAATGGATTTGATTACATGAACAGAAGAATATATTAAAACTGTTGGTTATATCATTAATTTTTTTAAATTAAATGAAAATTAATTAGAAAAAAAATTAAATGTCTTAAAATTAGAAATTGTTGATAAATTATAACTTTAAAATGACAAACATTAAATTATCTTACGATTATTCTTTGTTTTTTTGTAAAATATTAAGTTTTACTTAAAACTTTAGAGAAATATTTTATCACGACTTATATGTTTCAGATTTAAACAATATTAATTTGGTTTTCAACGTTGGTAATACCAGTTACAATACCACTTATGAATAAACTTTTGATTACATACTATTGGTAAAAATTTCTTTTAAAAATCTTAAAATTTTTGTTCTACTACTTGTATTATGAGTAAATTCAATATTTTTTTAAATATACCCAATATAAATGTATAACTCTAGGAATATTAAAAATTGTTTAGCAAAATATTCAAGATGTTATTTAAGAATAAGTGTAATTTAAATTACTGATTAGTTTTGGGATCTAGAGGGTGTTTAAACCTCGACAGGTTTTAAATATATATATTGTTGAAAAAAATTGTTAAACGATAAACGTTGATTTTTTACTTAGGGCATAAAATTAAAAAATATGCATTAGTCATTTGCTAAAAATGTATCATTAAAGAATAAATGATTTTTAGTTAATAAATGATACATATTTAAATTTAATGATTTTTGACAAGTTTCGAAGAAAGGAGACAGTCATCGATAAAGATCATTGTTCAAACAAAACTTTTGATGAAGTACGGTTTTATAGAATTTAAACAATTTTTATTAATTACAAATAAACATTACATCATTACTTAAAATTAGGCACTTATTACTTTTAAAATACATTTTTTTGGACAATTTTTTGTATACCTCAAAAAATTGAACAAATATCGGTTTGATTCTCAGTTTATATATATTTACTCAAGAAAATTGATAAATGATTGAATATTATATCATCATGATATAAGTACTTGAAAAATATTTTTATAACACTTAAAAATTATTTACATTTTTTTGTTGTAATCTAAAAGTTATTTTTTATCACTCTATTAGTGAATATATAACTGAACAAAAATGATATTTCATTATTCATTTTTTTTTTATGCAATAAAGTTTTGATTTAGAATAAAAATGAAATACGTTAGTTATTTATTTATCTTAGGGACGATATTGAGTGCGAGAGGAGAAGAAGTCACTGATTATGAAATGTGCAAGAGTAAGTAAATTAATTCATAATTATTGAAAAATAATTAAAGTTATTAACTAGATTCATTTATTAAAAATGTGCTTCTTATAGACTCTAAATGCACAATTTCAAATGTTAACGTTGATCCATGTCCCCAAGCATTGAAGGGTGAACATTGCGAATTTGTTCGTGGAACTAATGTCACTTTCTCTGCAAACTACATAACAAGTAAATATCTAACATGTTCATCTTACCTGTACAGAGTGACCGGTTTATCATAAACCACTCAATTACTTGCAACAAAAATACAATGTTGGAAAAATCATTTTTGATTTATAAGCTCCTAATTAATTTTTACAATCATAATTATAACTTAAAAGGACATCAACTTTGTTTTTTAAAGAGCAACATACATATATAATTATCTTATAAAGTAGAAAATTATCTAATTAGGATAATGACTTTTGGATCAGTATCTCAGAAGTTATTAACGATTTAAAGTAACAAATGGGAGTGAGCAGTGAGTGATATTATTTTTATCACTAGTAATTTCCAGGCCGTACTGTTTGTCCCGCCTAAAAATTAAAATAAGAATAACATCCAATTTGCTAGTCAAAAGTTGTTATTTATCAATAGTTTTCTTAATTAGATCATTTTCAATTTTATAAGCCAATTAAATATGTATGTTATTATTCAAAAAATAAAATTGATACCCCTTTAAGTTACATTGGATGATTCGAAAAAGCACTTATTATCTTATAAATAAAGAACTATACGTTATAATTTACGCTATAAATTACTTTATTGCAGGTAATCGAGTAGTTTACGATAAACCAATCACCCCATATTAAAAGTATGTTTTTCTTAATTAATTTTTTACGTGGTGCTTATAGAATTCAAATTCAAAAAAATTTATCTCTTAAATAAAATAATGCCACCTTTTTTTCCTTTTGATTTATGAAAAATAAGACATTTATCTTTCGGTTAGTTATTGAAAATTTTCAATTAGAGATAATTTACTTAGTTTAACTTTACATTACTCTACTATGTTATGTAGTTAAATAATTTTTTTTATTATTTTATCTTAGATAAAAACCCATTAATTTAATTTTTTTATTTAGTATTTTTATTTTTAGTTGTATAATGTGATAGATAAATAAGTGATGGGTCTTATTATTAATGAATCATGTCATATATACTTAGAATTTTGTAATCTTCTATTATTATAGAATATAAAGCTGTTATAATAGTGTTTAATAATAATATTAATACGTATGCAATAATTATTAATTGACCATGTACGAAAATAATAATAAAAATGATATTATTTTTAGTATTTTTTTTGTGAAGACTGTTGAGAATTTATCAGTTGCAATGAAAATGAAAAAAATATTAATTTTATTTCATACATAATATGTAATAATAAAATTTATTTATCATAAAATTTACAAATAAATGACATTAATTAGTAAAGAAATTAAATATCCAACATAGGTGATTTATATTAGAGAAACCAAGTATATGAAATTTTCCTCTAAATATTTAACTAGACAAAAAATAATAAACTGTTATATTACACGTATATTGAAAATTTAATTTCACTTTACAAAACGACTGACTCAACAAATTATCTTTAAAATATTTATAAGTTTTAATATTTTAAAATAAATTGAACTTAATTAAAAAAAAATAATTAAATAATTCTAGTTATTTTTTTGGAATCAAGTTTTAAATCCAAATTGAATTAATTTTGTAACTACAAAATAAGTGATTTTTATTTACTGAAATTAAAAAAAAAAAATTGTTCTAGGTTTTGGCACAGTGAAACCTATAACTAAGGTGTACATCGAAGTAGGTGGTGTAGAAATAACAGATCCAAGTTTACCAACTGATGCTTGTCTTTTTACGAGTTGTCCAATACAAAATGGAAAACAAAATAGTTACAAGAGAACTATTTTGGTCAGTCCAAAATACCCATCTGGGAATCACAATTTTAAAATAAAAATTTACGATGGAACTAAAAAATTCAAAAGAGATGAATGTTGTGTTCAAAGCAATGTAAAAATAATTTGATTCGACACATTAAAGTCTTAAAATATGTTAAATTGTTTTTATCATCAATATTTAATTAAAACTGACATAATATTGTAAATAAGAGGTATTTTGTTCATTTTACTGATATAATTAATACAAATTCGATTACTTAATGCACAAAGGGTATTGTTATATTTTTCAATGTTATCACAAAAAAGAGTATTAACCAAACTAGTTGATGTGGGAATTTCCTCCGGCTGGAATAATTAAAAAAAAATACTGCTAAAAAAGTCCTAAATAATACGTATTTTATATCTTTTGCTTTTTATTTGAATTTTGCTTACTGGTTTTTAAGTACAGTTATTTGAAAAATAAAAGTTAACGTATAATAAAAAGAAAAAAATAGTGATTTAAATTATTAAATATTTAAATAATTAAGTAAAAAATTATTGAACAATATATTATATTAGTTAATATAATAGTATATATAAAAAAAAAATTAGTAAACAATGTATTAAAAACAATCATATGCGAAATAATGACGCATGTACTATACATTGCTTGTAAATACATAAGAATGAATAAGTATATATAATACATATAAGTGCAGCGGAGTGCGGTCGTGGAAAAAAAAGGGATGAGAGAGAAAGAAAGAGGGAAAACGAGAAATGTATTATACACTATTCACTTGTATATAGAAATGGAAATGTATAGAACAGTATCGTGGCTTTTTCGTTATGAAATTTCGTTACTCGGCTTGTCTTGAGTTAGGTCCCGTCACAAGACCCATATCACATCCCAACCTGCCGTAAAAAACTTTGTTTGAAAAAAGCTTAGGGATAAATAATCTTAATCTCATGAAAAATATAACAATTAGTCTTTTGTAGACTACCTTCAATTTTTTACTTATTTAAATTTTCCTAAATAGCAATACAGAGTAAAAAATGTTGGCAATTGAAAAAAAAAATTGGTAAGCACCTCCTCTTCCCTTGAAATTACATTCAGATTGTGTCATTGAATAAGTTAAACGTTTTATTTTTAAATAAATACTTCTAGTTCATTTTCAAAAATAGCTTTAAGAAAAAACATAGATTAAATTAAATTTTAGTTAGTTTAATAAAAAGTTATACCAAAAATTCAAACTCCTCGAAAATTATGCTAATTTTTTATTTAAAGACGTAGTAAAAGAATGGTAACTTAGGCAATTGCTATTGCATGAGAGACTTTGAATAGTCGCAATAGAAGCGCCATACGGAAGTTGTATTTTTTATTTAATATATAATCAAAATAAAAGTTCTCTTAACATAAATTCAGATCTATTTTTAATGAGCATATAAATTTTAATTTATCTCATTCTTCAATATAGTTTGAATTGGTTATGCTCAATAATTGCTTTTTAAAATTGGAACGTTAAATCCAATATTTTGATATTTAGTAATTATTATTAAATAAATAAAAATAATACTAAATTATTTTCGAATTAAAAAATGTTTGATTATTTCTATAAACAATAAAAGTATTCAATTAAAATTTGTTTTATACATACAAATTGAAAATATTTTTATGATTCAACCACCGCATTAAACATTAAGTAATAATATAAACTTATTTCTTGAATTTTGTACTTTTTTTTTAAAAAAAAAGTTGTTTACTTTATAAATACGCGTTCTATTCGTTGTCCCTTTTTTAGTTTCTAAAATATCCGGATACAGTCGACTTCTTCAAAATGAAAGCCCAAAAGAAAGTCCAACTGTTCTTTAAGCCGATATGCATTCATTAGCCGGTATTCCTATTCCAAAAGGTTTGTTTTACACTCAACGGCTTTTTCTTTTATATTATGTTTATTTTATACAACAAGGACGTAATACTGTTCAACGTCAAACTTTTACTAAAATAAATAAATAAATAAAACAATCGAAAAGCTCCTAAAATCAATACGAGTATAATTTTAATTTCAATTTCAATATGAATAAAAATCTTTGATTATGTAGCAAGAAAAAAAAAATTTAATGGTTGTATGAGCTAAAAGTTAATACATAAATTGTAATGAAAATTTTCTATAAAAATAATTTAACTATAATTAAAAAAAATTCACGTCTTAAAAATGCATACATTAAGTTTTAATTATAAATGTATAACAATAATTTTATATTAATATAAATTTTTAATAAACTTTTTTAAATAGCAAATTATTTTTTTATTAGGAATACATCATTTAAAATCATCTAGTTAATGAAATTAGTGGTTTATAACAATTTGAATCAGTCTTTTTGGATATATTAATATTTCAAAATGTGGTCTGGGGTAAACTAATCTGATTACATTTATCATCAGTCATGCGCTGTAATTCTCATCTCGCCTGGATATAAAAATAGTAAAATACTTTACATTTATAGTTCAAAAGTTGTTTTAAATTAGCCATTTTCTTAATTAGATCAAATTCCAATATTAAAACTAGTGAAATTCGTATGTTTCTATAAAAAAATAAATAAAATTGGTATATATTTGTAAAGTATTCTTGTTGACTTACCCATTTATCGATATGACAATGGTACACATTTAAATTACACCACTTATCATAGTGGTATAATCATTATAATTATGTTGATGAATAATCTAAAAATGTTAACTTATCACTTTTTATTTTACTCATTACGCTAGATTTGTAAGTTTGATGCTCTTCGGGTTTACCTTTCTTACTGTTTGTTTTCAATGATTATTGAACGGACATTAGTCATTAAGCTACTGTAATAATATAATGTATTTTCAAACATTGTGGGCTTTTCACTTGAGTTTACACTAAAACGTTTTGGCGTGATTGCCAATCATCAAACAGGCTATAAATTAATCTCGTTTACAATTTTTCTAATAGCTTTTCGAAAACAACTGTTGACTTTCCATAATGAAAAAAAAACTGATAAATTTCAGATTCAGTTAAACCCTAAGTATTGGTATGTTTTTTTTTGGTTAAGTGAACATCATTGGTTTAAACAAGTTAATTAAAGTACGACGTTGATGTTTATTTGTGTTTAGAGTCAATATTTGTAAATAAGGATGATCCTGAAAATATGAATTAGGGTTGCTAACTAAAAGTGGTTTCATCAGCGTTATGATAGATTTCCACTTCTCATTTGATTTTACTTAAATTCTTTATTAAATAAAAAATGCATAAAAAATGTTTATATTATTATTATTAGAAACCATTATATAAAATTAAACTTTAATTAATTAATTATAAAATTAAATAAAAAGGTACTATTAAAAAAATAAAAATTTTTTAATTTATATATTAATGATATTTGAACAAAAATTTAATGGTAGAATTTATACTAAAGTATTATACACCAAAACTATTAATTTAAAGATTAATTTTATTTTGCTTTTATGACTAACGGCTTGTGATGAACAACTTTGAACTATCCAATCAGTGTATTTGTATATATAAGTATGCCTTGACTGCACATAAGTGTCGCCACAAACAGAATCATAACTATTATTTATGTAGTTGTAAATGTGACTTGCTACACCAATCTGAGAACCATCACAAATTAAAGGACCTCCACTATCGCCTGGACATATACATTTCCCATTTGGTATAGAACATAAAAATTCGTCCCAGGTTGATTCTAGAATTTTTTTCATTTGATTATTCGGACTAAAAGATCCAAAAGTAATTTTACAACATTTAAGATGCAATATTCTATCTAGTAATAAACAAGTTTATTAACTCCAATTAATAAAATAATACGAGTTTATAAGTATGGTCAATAATATTATTTCAACTTGCTTACTCAATAAGTGGCACAAAACAGGCTGTTGGACCATATGAAACCACAACATTAGCAATATTTGCGTTATTGACTAGAGAATTGTTGTTTCCTGTTTCACCCCATCCCACAATTTCACAATTTAATAATTTATTATGTCTAATTACATTTGGTTTTAAATTCGATAGTTTTATACAATTTTCTATTTCACTAAATGTTTCATTCAACTAAAAAAACACAAAAATTTAAAATGTAACATTCTTTACCAAGTGCATAAATAATATATCGAACGGTTATTAAAATGAATAGGTCAATTTATATCGATTCATAACTTCTAAGGTTTATCAAATTTATTTTGTTTTTATAACACAAAAAAGTAATAAACTCAATGTGAAGAATTTTATTCCAAGTATATATAAAAACTCCATGGAATACATAATCATCAAAAATTTAAAAAGTAATGTTTAAATGTAATCTGTTATTGATTGTTACTTAATTATATTTGTTAATTATATTTGTTAATTATAATTTTTTTACATCCCTTCTTAGATTAAGACCTTTATTTTATCATCGTTTGTTTTTAAAATATATTCTCATTAAATTATTTTTTCCTTAACTTTACAAAAGCTAAGATATCTCTTTTGTAACACGTAACTCTTATAATATATATAGCGCATACTTTTAAAATACCAATATCTGCTATTACATTATCTTCATGATAGTTCGGGTGAACAAATATTTGAGTAACAAATCGGGTTTCTCGATTAATTGCCCAAACCTACTAAAATATCTCAGTGTAATAATCGTAGTTAATTGTTTTTAAATAACAAATATTTTATGTTAACCACTTGCCTCTATATTTAATTGCAAATGAATGCAATGGCCAGCTGTTAATACGTACAATGGTTTGATCAGAGATCCTGTACAAAAAGACGGTATATTTGAAAATGAATCTGATTTTATTCCGACTACATACGAATGACTACTCATGTTTAAGCCATGTCCTTGTGAAATCCGTTTCTGTCGATTTTTACTTTTATAGTAATTGAAAAAACATATTGTGTTTGATAGATATAAACTTAAGATGATAAGTTCTAATGACAATAATTTCATAATAACGTCAATTTATTAAGTAAAATTTAGAAATATATATGGCTAATATTTGAATAATTATAATTGTATAAAAATATAATTATGTATCGCCTAACTAGTCGGTTGCGTTGAATATATTTATTCTTGTTTACTATTAATCGATACTTATTTAAAAAAATTGTTTTATAAAAATTTGTATTGGCTATGATAACCTGACAATTTGGGTTTTATGGAAAAATATTTTATAAGGTTTACTTTTATGTTGAGATGAGTTTTGTTATATTAATTACGCGTAATAAATATGTTTTTAAAAATTATTAGAAATAATTATTAAATATTATTAATTTTCAATAATAATTTTATTTAAAAATTTATTTTGATTTATGTCACGTTATTTTTTTATTAAAACGATTTGGTGTCATTTTTACAATAAATTACAGCGAGTTTGGGGGAAGATATTGTTTGAATACAACAATAGTTATATACCCTTTTAAACATCACGTAGAACATTCTGTTCATAAACCCTTCGTAGACATCAAACCAAAACGTTTCCTTTCTAGTGTCTCCTTGTCCTATAACAACAACAACTACTCGCATTATTATTGCTTTTACAGTGACATTGATAACGGGCTTAATTGACAGCCGAGATAGGTTTTTGATCCAATTATAAATCTCGAGTAAACCACTCGAATCCGTGATGCAACAATACAGGGAAGGTCTCATTAACAGTTGCGCTCATTGTCTGAAAACCGTTCGAGTGTTTTGCCAGTATCACATAATAAAACTTATACCCGTTAAGCACTACACGATCATATAATTGTGCTCGCTGGTAATAAACTCGTTGATTATATTATTGAGAACAACGATGATGTACGGAACTGTGTGTATTTACTATCTACGATAATTTTGTTTGTGTTCGAGTATACAGCAGCTATTGTATAGAGAACGAGCGTGACAGAGCGAATGATATGGAAATTATGGCCGCAGCATATCTGTGTAATATTTACAACGACACCCTTGAAAGCTTTCAACTGGCAACTTCACATGCATTTCGATTATTGAATATGTATCTCTATAACAGAATTATAAATCCATTATTTTATTTCATTTATTAATCAACAATCCATGTACTGTTTAACGAATATAGTATTTTGTACAATGAAACGGATGATGAAGTTAATATAATTATTTTAAAAAATACATTGAACTGTTATTGATCATCAATAAATTGTTCAATGATGACTTTAGATCATACGTGATAAACTGATTAAATTAAGATATATCTTTTTATAAAATATCGTGAGTTAAGTTTTGAACAATTGAATAGTTTTTAAATATTATCATAGCCATTGTCTCATTAAATTCTTCCCAACTATTTGGGTTTGGCTCTACCTAATTGATTTGGCAGGATTTTTAAATCGGCTGCCGATCTGATGCAATATAATCGTGACTGAAGGAACCATTATGGTGTTAATATGGTACGTTAAAGTTCCCATATGGACACCCATCCGACAACTTACAGCTAACAGCGTAACTGAACGTCATCGCTAAGGTGGTGACTGAATGGTTCACTGCATCATACTACGACCCACAATATTTTATAAAACATGCTTTAATGAATAATCTAAAATGCACTTATTATATCTGTTGTTGATAAAAAAATTACCGACACTTGAATAAAATAGTTTAATGTATTTTTAAAATTATTATTTAATCCAAGAGTCGATAAACAGTTTGATTTATTCTGTTTGTTTAACTTCGCTATATGCTATACATTTGTTAATCATACTAGAGGTTCTAAAAAATACAAGTTATTTTTATTAGAAATAGTACCCATAAATATCAACACGATCATTGGTTTTATTTACGTGATAATTCAATTTCTAACATGGTCCAAATGTCATTTAGACATTAATAGAAACGTTAGACAGTCGTGTTATTAAATTACAAAGTTGGTTCATAAATGGGGGTAGATACTCGTGACTATGGGCCGTGACCAAAATAGCACTTGTGTCAACGAGCTGCGGTAAAGTATAAATCAAAACCCACAAATGATATTTGTGTTATCGAGTTAAGTTGAAAATCCAACATTTATTAATGGACATTTCTGGACTATAAACCAATTATGCTTTTTAAAAAAGTTTATGGAATCTTTGGGCTGGATCTTTCATGTGGTCACTGAATAGGAAGCAGCACAAATTACACGTGTGTTTGATGCGTTGTACAAAATTCACAGCCGAGAATAGCTTTATCTTATTTGAAGTGTTCAACTCTATGTAATAGACAGTTGAGCTTGTGTAAATTATTTCGTAAAACGGAAGTGGTTGGGATATATTTTTCTTTGATCTTGGGTTTGGAATTTATATAGCTTATTATAGGTTGAAAACGTGTTCGATATTAGCGTGGAGTTAAATCATCAAGGGATTTACACATTATATACCTAGCTAAAGTGTAATATTACAAGATATACATTTATGTATGTATATTAATTTACTAGTTACCAAAATTACATAAAATATATAGAAACTGTTTAAAGTTTATACAATAATGAAATTAATAATTAGCTATTATTTTTACATTATAATTATAAAATCGCTTAATCATTAATACAATATATTACACTGATACTAAAAGTTTTTATAGGTTTTTTGGCGGCTTCAATACAATAAAAAAAGGAAGTTGGAAGCTCAGAAGTCATTAAAAATGGATTATATTTAACGCAATTATTTAAATATTTGAGAATCTAATAACGGGAGGCTATTAAACAAAAATCGCAAAAGAAAAAAGTAATATATTCCATTTAAAATTTTAAATAAGTAAACATGTAATAATTTTGTACAAAAAAAGTGATTTTTTAAGATATAATATCTTAAATGTTAAATAATATTTATAGGACAACATATTTTTTCAATTTTACGATTAAATCATTTTGATTTGAACATAATGTTACTGTTTCTTCTGTATGACAATTTATTATTATGAAATAAGTATTGATTTTTAGCGTAAGGGAAAGTTTATCGGAATACAATACTGCTGATTATATAAATATATATATTTACTAGCGTGTACTCTGAAGTCCACGGCGGAGAACAAGTTGAGTTCAAATAGCATAAATACACCTCTCTTCGTGTATTAGAATTAACTTTACGCAACAACCTTTGAAAATTATCAAGCCATAAAGCTCGAAAATTCAAGAATTTAATCTCCAACCATATAACTACAAGAATCGTTATTCCCCGAAAATCTACCCACATACAATAATGGAATTACAGGCCACAGTGAGGCGAAGGCTGCGGAAGCGCGTTCGGATTTAAATTAGATAAAAGGCTTAATTTTAAAAGACTTGCACGCGAGGAAAGCCAATCAACCATTCCATTTATATCGGGGATTTAGTTTTACCCCTCTTTCTCTCTATCATTTTCGTAGCTACCACCACAAAGTTACCGTGCCCCCTCTGGTGAAAGGGCGTGCAAGGCGAATGAGAGGGTTGCCCACAATAGGGGTATGTATGTGCGGTTTCCTACTCGAAATGATGTTAAATTAGCAGAAAATCGCCAGACCCCGTGTCATTGTTATACCAAACACCCGCGGCCACTGTAACAACTGCAGCAGAAGCGCATGTGACCCTTTTGAATTAACATGTAAATAAAAACGTTGATTGACAACATTGTTATTGTGGTGTGTGTGCGTCAAGCCAATAGTTTTCGTCAGTGCTGACTCGCTTGAATCACAATATTGTGATATTTTAAAATGATATTTGTTTTTGTAATATAGAAATATATGGTGAGAATATAACTAGGAGAATGCGTAACAATAAAAAGAAAAATTTGTAATAGTAAATTAATCAATATATAGTCGGCAATCATAATAGCAATTAAAACTTATAAAAATTCTTAAATATTTTAACATAAATTAAAAGTCATTATAAAGTTTAAATAAAAACAAAAAAATGAAAAAAACATGTAACATCTACTTTTAAACTAGTATGAATTATACACTTGAAATGTAACGAAATACAATATGTATGAATTACAGATTTGACATATACTTTTTTCAACTATAGAATTTCAAAGAAAAAAGTTTTAAAAAACAATATACTTTTGCGTGAATCTGTTAACAATGTGATACATTCTCATTAAGTATTCATAAAATCAAGTGTCTGAAAAAACTATCCTAATTTTTTACTACTGAAGAAAAATCGCGTTTGTTTTTGCCGTGTCGTTTAATTGCAAAAAACAATAACTCAAACGTTCACCCTAATGAACTCTGAAATAAAAAATCGTTTTGTATAGATAGATTTATATTTATATTTCTTTTTCATCCTTATTATTGCTATTTATTATTTATGCTAAACTCATAACGATTCGTCGCGTTGATTTTGGACCCTCCAAAGAGTACTTTTGATTGGTCTTGACAACCGAGAGAAACTAAATAATATTTATTTTTTGTTCCAACCTTTTCCTTTATGTTCTTTATCTTATATAGACTATCTCTTGCTGATGCCCTCAGCACAAGCACTCACCCAAATAGACACTCGTGGTCTCTGAATGTGCACCAAGTTAGTAGAATTTTACAGGGAGAGAAACTCTCGAATTTGAATTATAACCTCATTTGCATACGGGACCCTTTGCCGTCATCGTGAGTGTATCTCGTCCGAGACACGCTTCCATAAATCACATTTAGACCTTGCACGGTTATTCAAAAATATACCACCAAGATTATACAAACGGTGGTGTTTATTGGACAAATATTAAGTTTACCCCAAAAATCGATCATTGCTCCAAAGCATAGAAAACTAACCATAGAATATTTGTCGCCATTTATGCTTTGTACCATAATTTACAGAGTAAAATACCTTTAATGATTTGTGAAACAAAAATTATATTTTTTGACATGAATTTGTTTTAACATTTTATATTTAAAATTTTCATGAAGTCATATATTAATAATATATAATATATATATATATATATATATATATTATGTATATTCAATAATATAGAATTTAATTAATTTCGAGATTGTTGGAATCCAAATTATAACTTATGTTGATAAAATAAAAATAGTTAATAAAAATTTGAATTGAAAACAATTTAATAAAAATTATTAACTTTGCTTCAATTTTACTTCATAATTTAAATATTATGTAATATCGAAACTAGTAGTTTATATTTAATTTATAAAACTCTATGTGTTATTCATAATTTATTTTTTATATAAATTTACATTCATTTTTTAATATAAACGTCAAATAATAATCTTGTTAATTATAAATAAATATTTAGTGAACTCCACAATTATTTGAATAATATCATAGAAAAACATACATAAATTATGATCATGAACAAAAGTTTATTATCAAAAATTAATTTTTTTCTATCTATTAATAGTAGATATCAACTACTAGAATCTGCTTGTAATTTTTTTAAGAATTAAAAGGCTTTAATAAAGCAAAAATCATTAACCATTCTTAAAGTAAAATAAATCTACATGCTGGAGAATTCCCAAAAAGTTCTCTTCGTATATACGATAATGTGATTAGAAATAAAACGTATTAAACTGGTTCAATAATTGCAGAATAGATTATCATTAAGGTTTAATCAATTAAAATGATAAAGATATTAAAATATTTATACTAGTTAAGCTAATTGATATTATAGAAAAAAATTATTAACAAATACATTCTCGATCTCACTTCTATTTTGATAATTAAAATTTTAGGGGCTGAATTTTTTTTAATATATTATATAAAAATAAGTAGTAATTTATTATATTACTAGCAATAAAATTATGCAAGATTTAACTTTCAAAAGCTGATTTGTAACATTTTAAATCATAAAATTCGATATTGTTTGATATTGAAATCTCAGAAAATAAATAGTTTTAATACATTTGTATTTGAACGTTGATCAACAATTTAATCTTAG